ATCTATCAGTTTAGTTAACTATTGCTACTAACAAAACCAACAACCTACTGCCATCAAGCCGATTCCAACTAATACTAACCCAGCCAAACTCACTGCCAGCAGGTCAGTTTTGACTGAGAGCAACCCGACATAAGGTGTACAAAGCAGTGAATCTTGACAAGTGCAAGCAGCCTAGTTTTTCTCTGGTGGCTGACACCTTTCTGTTAGCAGACCCAGTACAATGCTTATCCCACAGAGCCACCAGAAAACATTCAGCTCAAATTTCAGTTACGGTAGTGTGTTACCTATAATTTCACAAAATAAAAAATTGGTTTCTAACTATTCAGTCCATAAACCACTATGTAAATAATGGTTGTGTATACTTATCAATGACCAACCATGTTATTTTTTTTGAAGTTTGTCACTAAACATCTGTTACTCAGTTCATCAAAGACAGCAAAGCATGTAGTTATATTGTCTCCATATCTCCTAGAGATACTGCAGATCAAAATAATTTAACTTTTAAAACACTACTCCTGTTGGAAAACTCTATCACTGTTTCTTCTGAGCTTCTTTAAAATACAATAATAAAATCTGTTAATATAAAACAATGTATTGTTGTGTTTGAAACATCAACAGAATTCATGTTTAGCAATAATACCACCAACAGCAAGGGAAAGAGAGCTATATAGAAGCAATGCCTATGTTTCACTAGAATTTAGTTAATGTAAACCTGAATACGATATCTGAAACGTAAAAATGTATATGGTAATCCCCTAGAGCAGCCACTAAAGAACTAAAATGCAAATAGTGAAAAAATAATTAACATCTACATAAGAATTTACCCAATAAAAAATAAAACAGCTGTCAAAGAGAAACAGAGGAAGAGAGAGGTGATATGTATACAAAACCAAAAGGACATGTAAATTGAACTAGACCTAAAAAAAATCAAGTGATGATTTAAACAATCCAATCAAAAGGCAGAGCTTTCAGATTAAGTTAAAAATTAAGGCCCAACTCCATGCTGTCTACATAAGGCAGATTTTATATTCTAGAAACAGGTTGAAAATTAAGGATAGGAAAAGATGTATCATGCAAACAGCAACCACAAGAAAGCAAGTGACTATATTAATATGAGACAAAATAGGCTTCAAAAGAAGAGTACCAGAGGTAAAGAGGGATCTTTAAAGGAGAGATTTTTTTTCTTTTGTAATCATTTTATTGGGGGCTCCTACAGCTTGTGCTAGTCTGGGTACTTTAGAGTAACAAATCCACAGAAACTCATGTATAAGAGAGAGTTTTATATAAAGGTTAAGTGTGTATCAAGAAAACATCATGCTCCCAATTCTGCCTTACATATGTGGCTGGACCGGAGGATGTACACTGGCACAGATAGGAACTGGAAATGCAGGGAATCCGGGACAGATGAACCCCTCAGGACCAGTGGTGAGAGTACCAATATCAGGAGGGTGGAGGGAAGGTGAAGGAGAAAGGGGGAACAGATTACAAGGTCTACATATAACCTCCTCCCTGGGGGATGGACAGCAGAGAAGTGGGTAAGGGAGACGTCGGATGGTGTAAGATATGACAAAATAATAATAATTTATAAATTACCAAGGGTTCAGGGGGGAGGAGGAGCGGAGAGAGGGGGGGGGAAATGAGGAGCTGATACCAAGGGCTCAAGTAGAAAGCAGGTGTTTTGAGAATGATGATAGCAACATATGTACAAATGTGCTTGACACAATTGATGTATGTATGGGTTGTGATAAGAGTTGTATGAGCCCCTAATAAAATGATTTTTTTAAAAGAAAGAAAACATCCCAACCCAGTGCTGTCCAAGCCCACAAGTCCAACATTAACCTATATGTCTGACACCAATCCACAAAGTCCTCCTCCATCTCACAAAACACACACTATGATGCAGGAGGAAAGCCAAATCAGTGAACGTGTAAGCATCTCAGCGCTGGCAGGGGTTTCCACACGGATGGTCCAGCATCCAGGGCTGCATCAGTGAAGGTCCATGTGGCTTCTCCTCAGGGATGTCTTGCAGGAAGTGACCCTTGCCAACTGAAGCAGGGAACTGGCTAAAACAGCTGTACCCTAGTCTGACCATCAGAAAGCAAGAGACCCGAGAACTAGAAAGGTGAGGCTCACTGAGCCATTTATCCCTCCACCCTTTAATTAACCCCACATGTGTTTATCGGCCAGGTTGGCACAATAAACTAACTACCTCATGGCTTTTATCACAATCCATACATCCATCCACTGTGTCAAGCACATTTGTACATATGTTGCCATCATCATTTTCAAGAGATTTTATAAGGATGAAAGTGCCAATAAATTATAACTCGCTGCTATCGAGTCAATGTTGACTCACAGTGACCTCCTGTGGGTTTCTGAGACTGTAACTGTTTTACTGGAGCTACTGATGGTTTGGAACTGCCAACCATAGACACACAGCTCAAAGCATAACCACTATACCATCAGGGTTCCTAAAGCACGATGAGATAATAATTACAGATAACAGAACATATAGATAAGCATCACATAACAGAACACCAAAATCCATAAAGCAACAATAAACAGACATTAATGGAGACATTGGCAACTCAACAAGTTGAAGATTTCAATGCCCTACTCTCAACAATTAGGAAGAATATCAACAAGAAAATAAAAGATGAATAACACTACAAACCGAGTGGATCTAACAAGCATCTATAGAACACTAGTCAAAAATAACAGTATATACGTTGTTCTCAAGGGCACAGGAGACATTTTGGAGAACAGCACAAAGAACTCATGCTTCTGTATATACGTAAATATATTTATATATAATGAGGGGTTTATATCTATATGTTAACAATTAAGGTAGCAGATGGACACTGGGCCTCAACTCAAGTACTTCCTCAACACAAGAACACTTTGTTCTAATAATCCAGCATTCTGTGATGCTCACTTTCCCAACATGATCGCTGAAGACAAAATGGGCACATAAGCAAATGTGGTGAAGAAAGCTGATGGTACCCAGCTATCAAAAGATACAGTATCTGGGGTCTTGAAGGCTTGAAGATAAACCAGCAGCCATCTAGTTGAGAAGCAACAACCCCACCCCCACCCCAGGGAAGAAGCACACCAAGCCAGTGGGATTATGGGGTGTCCATGGGATCAGGTATCTAAGACCCAGAAGAAAATCATGCCAATGTGAATGGTGGTGGGAGGGCATGTGGAGTGGAGACCCAAAGCCCATCTGTGGACAATCGGATATCCTCTTAAAGAAGAGTCACAAGGAAGAGACGAGCCAGTCAGGGTGCAGTATAGAACTGATGAAATATACAACTTTTCTCTAGTTCTTTGATGCTTCCTCCCACCAATATCATGACCTCAATTTTACCTTACAAATTGGACTATACCAGAAGATGCACACTGCTGCAGATAAGAGCCCCCAGCACAGGGAATCCAGGATAGATAAACCCCTCAGGGTCAACAATGAGAATAGAGATACCAGTAGGATAAGAGGAAGGGGAGGGGGGGGACGGATCGATCACGAGGATCAACATACAACCTCTTCCCAGGGGGATGAACAACAGAAAAGTGGGTGAAGGGTGACAAAGGATGATGTAAGATATGAAAATAATAATCTATAAATTATCAAGGGTTCATGAGAGAAGGCGGGCAGTAAATGAGGAGCTGATATCAAGGGCTCAAGAAAAAGAAAATGCTTTGAAAATGATGATGGCAGCATATGTAGAAATGTGCTTAACACAACGGATGAATGTATGGATTGTGATAAGAGATTTAAGAGCCCCCAATAAAAGCACTTAATAAAAAAAAAAAAGGACTCATGCTTCACAATTTCAAAACTTATCACAAAGCAATAGCATTCAAGACCATAGGGTACTGGCACAAAGAGAAGCAAACAGAGCAACAGAACAGAATTGAAAGTCCAGAAATAAAACATGATTTTTTTAGTCAAGCGTGTCAAAATAATTCAATGGGAAAACAAATGGTGTTGGGACACTGAATGTGAGAACAGGTTTACAAATTATGTATCTCTTTAAAAGACTTTTATCCCAAACAATGTAACAAGTCAAAAACAAAAGAAAATCCAATTAAAAGTGGGCAAAAGTATTAAATAGACAAGTTTCCAAAGAAGATATATAGGTACAGAAATGGCCAATAAGCACATAAAGATGCTCATTATATGTCATCCAAGAAATACACATTAAAATCACAATGACATATCACTTCACAATCACTAGGAGGAGTAGAATCAGTCTTAAGACCATCCTTCTCCATTCTTGCAACATATTTTCTCTTCATTGCTCAGAAAATCTGTTTAATCTTTACCTCCCCATCTTCCTTCCTCACATATTTGCTTATCCCATTTTCTTTCCCTGCATTTTCCAGCAATAAAGTACACAGTTCGTGTTTAATGATGTAATTAATTTATTGAGTTAGTTTGATTTCTCAAGGCAAAAACTGCAAGGGCTGAACATGCTTTGAATGTGATTTCCTATATCTGAACTGTATAGACGAAACATATGTGAAGCATATTTTTTAACATGTAAGACACTTACATGGGACTCCCACCCTTTATGTGTATGGCCATCTGTATGTTTTCTTCCCTGGGACCATTATTGTTAAATGGAAACGGCTTCTTACCCCTTCGATACGGGATGAAGAAGATATCAATTCCAGCTGTGGCCTCTAGGGGTTTGGACGCTATCAGAGAGGCCGCCGCTCTGGTCTGTTCGCCGCACGTCTACTGGCATCTGGCGGACCGACGGAGAACGCGCTCCCTCGCCGGCTCGGCGGCTGGCCGGAAGCCGGAAGCAGCGCCCCGCCTGGTCCAAAGAAGCGCGCTCCGACTGCAAGAGGCTGAACGTGCCGGAAGAACCCTGTTTTCTATTGGCTGACGCGGTGTCAGCAATCACCAGGAGCCAATGAGCCGGAGCCCGTCTGTGACGTCAGACGCCGTGCGACTCCTCCCTCCCAGCGCTAGCAACGCGTCTGGGCGACGGCCGAGGAAGGAAATCCAGGACCCCACTGGATTTCTCCTGTGCTCCATGTGCCCCCGGTGGCTCGTGCTCCTGCAGGCGTTCTTCCTGATGAGCCCACGGGGTGCCTGGCCTCAGCCCTCTTCCTCTCCGACAGGGTCAGCGCCCACCCCTTCGGGCCAGGGGCCCACGACGCAAGGCAGGACCCCCCAGCCTTCCAATGGCCCTGAAAGCCCTCGGGCTTTGACGCAGAGCTCCTCGGTGGGACCTACAGCTGTCACCCCTTCGGCGCCTGAGAACAGGACGGTGGATCTCTTCCCGGGTGAGGGGAAACTATTGGCCTCTCGGATGTACAATTAATTCTGTGAAGAAAGCTGAATTGGCACTAAATGGGGGAGTGGGTGGGACTGCCGGAAGAGGGAAAATTCTCCCTGGAAGAGTTCAGGAATCCTCGTCTCATTCGCTCTGATTTATGTTTTACTTGCATAGTCTTACCGATCTGTGTCTGTGACTTGACGCGCGGCACCTGTGATGTAAATTGCTGCTGCGACAGAGACTGCTTTCTTCTCCATCCCAGGACGGTTTTCTCCTTCTGCCTTCCTGGGAGTGTAAGGTGAGCTGCGATCGCAGATGGTTTCATCATAAAGGGCATTGAGATTCGGGAATAGGTAATATTTGGAGAGAGGACGAGGGTGCCTTCGCCCCCACAATACACTCCTAGAACCTTTGTGTTATTCCATGGCTACCCAAGGTCGTTTTGGCAGCTGGTTTACATTCCAGAAGGCAGGTGCCCTTTTCTGGACCTCCCTGTCGTGCTTCCGACTCATAGAGACCCTATAGGACGTGGTTGAACTGCCTCCCAAGACTGCAACTCTACCGGAATAGAAAGCCTCATCTTTCCCCCACAGAGCAACTGGTGCTCTAGAACTGCTGACCACGTGGTTAACAAACCTAGGCGTAATCCTCTGTATAACTAGGGCTTCTAAACTTCTACTTCCAGGTGTACTTTATCCTCTGTCCTCATAGGTCTTCAAGTTGGGTGTGTGTGGACAACTCTCTTATCTTCAGAAGTAATTCCCCATTTCCTACTAGAGTTTTCATCGATTCAAATGGAATTAAGCAATTCTGCATCCATGTGAACAACTGTGAGTAGCGATATCTTGACTGCTAAATAATGTAGAAACATTATCATCTATCATTTATGGAAAATGACCTTTGTCTCTGGCCTGATTCTTCTAAACATTTTTCTCCTTTTAAAGTGTTGTTCTTGGCTTAATTTTTGTTTTAAGTTTTATTCTTGCCTAATTTTCCTTTCTTGCTTGTAAATTTTTATTCTTGTGCTATAGTCATGCAGTGGATTATGTGTTGGGCTGCTAATTACAAATTCAGCAGTTCGAAACCACCAGCCACTCCTAGGGAAAAAGATGAGGCTCCAATAGAGATGTACAGCATGGGAAACCCAAAGGGACAGTTTTACCTGGTTCTATAGGGTCACACTATGAGTCAGAATTGACTCAATAGTATTGAGTTTGGTGTTTGCAGTTTGGTGAGTGAACATTTTATATTTCTTCTGCCTGGACTATGGATCAAGATGCTCATACAGAACTTTAATTTCAAAAAAAAAAAACCAGAACTTTAATTTCAATATTTTTATTATTTCTCAACTCAGTTCATAACAGGTTATCTTACCCACTTGACTGTAACCTCCATGTGGTTACCCACTGATCCCACAGTGCCTGGTGCCTAATGTCACACTCACTGCATTGAGTCATTCCAACTCATATTAACCCTATTAAAAAACTCACTGCCATCAAGTTGATTTCGACTCATGGTGACACTATAGGACAGGGTAGAATTCCCCCTATGGATTTCTGAGGCTGTAATCTTTAAAGGAGTAGAAATCCTCATCTTTCTCCTGCAGAAGGTGGTTTCCAACTGCTGACCTTATTATGGTTATCATCCCAACGCTTAACCACCAAGCCACCAGGGCTCCTGCATCGACTGTATAGTATAGCACAGAGTAAAACTGTCCCTGTGGATTTCTGAGGCATAACTCTCTACAGAAGCAGAACGCCTCATCTTTCTCCCTTGGATGCATAACTGGCAAGAAATGTTTTAATGAGTGTCTTTGACAAATGACTCTATGCTAGCATTGTTTGTTTTGTTTTCATGGGGTTGAATGTAAGGGAAAACATTACACTGAGAGCTCAAGGCTACCATGTACTTGCCAGTTACACAGCATTGGGAAAACACCTTAACATTTCTTCAACTATTAAAAAAAATTACTTCACTGGTCCTGCATATAAAAGTGATTATAGAGTACAAAAAAAGAGATAGTTATTATTGGGGTTTTTTTTAATTGGGATTAGAAATTTGTCAGTAAAGACTAAGATTTCTAAAGATAAAAAAGCTAAAGATATGTTGAAGCCTGTTTTTAATGTCTTTGAAACAAAATAATGTTCTCACAAAATAGATTTAGTTATGCCTTACACCTAAAAACCAACTCACTCTGATGTTATCTGACTTAGGAAAGAAATGGAAAAACTGTATGTTTCAGAAAATAGCTCATTTGTCGTTTGGAGGAATTTGTGCTTAGAAGCAGTTTCAGGAATACTGTGGCCATCCAGGTTTTGAGAAGTTAAAGAAACAGGTGAATGCTTTGTTTTAAAATCAGACTGTCCAGACATTCTATTGCTAGTCTAGTTCAGATCTTATGATTCCTCTCCATGATTACTTCAATACTATCCAATGCTGCTCCCAGTTTTGGATGTCCCCTCCTACCTACAATACCATCCTGTGCATACTGCTTCTGGAACCATGGTTCTAGGCTTTCTTCTGTCCCACCACCAACTGGGAAATATAACCACTCCCAAGAGTAAACCCCCAAGAAAACCACTGTCATCAAGCCGAATCCAGCTCATAGTGACCTTTCTGAAACAACCATATCTTTTTTCCCGTGGAGCAGCTGGTGGGTTTGAGCCACCAACCTTGAGTTTAGCAGCCCATTGCTTACCTGATAGTATCACTAGGGTTAATTTCCAACAGTCACAATGGATAATTAAATGAATTTTCCCTGAATGAGACTAAGGAGTGGACTCATGTCTAGTATTAAAAAGGCAGACACTTCTCATTGATTCTGATTTTTACCTACCTACCTCAACTGTACACACACAGCATGCATACTTCTAAAAGTCATGTCCATGGAGAATCACTTTATTATATTCATCTTTCCATAACATTGTATTCCTTTGCTCCTTTATTCAGAAACACCAGTGACTCTGTGCCACCTACCAAATAACACCCGGCTTCTTTAGCTGGTCAATCCAGATGCTCTCAGTGGCTACAACTTACCTTTCTGGATGCTTTCTCCTTTTACTCTTCCCTTGACCCTCTGCTTTGCCCAGGCGCATCTACCCATTGTCCTCAAGAGCTACATTGTCTCCCCAAGTTTGCACTTGCTTTTCTCCTTGACGCCAGTGTTCCTCCGTGTCTTTGCATTTCATAATCCCTACCATCAAAAGCTATGCATAAGTTTTTCAGCAACGACTTCTTCCGAAATGGGCAGTCGATTCCTTCTTCACAGTCTGTTGTTAGTCTGGAAGCTCCACTGAGACCTGTTCGTTCTGGGTGACCCTGCTGGCATGTGAAATACCAGTGACATACTGCTTCCAGCATCACAGCAACACACAACACCAGCACAGTACAGCAAAGTGACAGAGTGGAAGCAGCAGTCAGATCAAAAGACGTGTTGCATTAGGTAAATCTGCACAAGACCATTGAAAAGCAAGGGTGTTACTTTGAGAAGTAGGGTGCGCCTGACCCAAGCCAGGGTATTTCCAATTGCCTCATATATGTGTGAAAGTTAGAGGTTGAATAAGGAAGACTGAAGAAGAATTAATGCATTTGAATTGTGGCTGGCGAAGAAAATACCATGGGCTGCTAACAGGATAAACAGATATGTCTTGGAAGAAGTATGGTTAGAATGCTCCTTAGAGGCAAGGATGGCAAGACCTTGTCTTACATACTTTAGAACTGTTGTCAGGAAAGACTAGTCCCTGGAGAAGGACATCACGCTTGGTCAAGTAGAGAGGCAGCAAAAAAGGGAAGGCTCTCAATGAGATGGATTGACACTGTGGCTGCCACAGTGGGCTCAGGCACAATTGTAAGGATGGCGCAGGGCTAGGCAGTGTTTTGTTCTGTTGTGCGTAAGGTCATTATAGGTCACTCAATGGCCCCAAACAGCAACAACCATCAGAAGATGTAAGGAATACACTGGCACCATGCCAAAAGGAATGATCAACTTTCACCCATTTCAGCAGAGCATAGAATCAAGAACCAATAGTGTTGAAGGAAGAAGCAAAAAATGAGGTTTTGACAGATTTTGACAGGAATGGATGGAATATCAATTGGAATATTTCAACAAACTGATGAAACCCAGGATGCACTTATCTATGCCAAGAAGGGGTCCATATTATGAGAGATCCTTTTTTTTTTAACCCATTCCAAATAAAAGTAACCCCAGAGTATAGAAATTACCAAACAACATTATGAATATCACACACAAGTAAAATCTTGCTGGAAACAATTCAAAAATAGCTGCAAGAGTACATCAGCAGGGAGCTGCCAGAAATTCAAACTGGATTCAGAAGAAGACATAGGAATATCTTCGTAGATGTCAGATGGATCTTGGTTGAAAGTAGAGAATACCAGAAAAAAATGTTTGTCTTTTATTAACTATACAAACCATGGATAGCATTGGGAAGAGCACACACTTTGTTGTGCTCATGTGGAATCTGTACATAGGCCAAAGGCAGTCATTCAAATAGTACAAGGGAACACTGGTTTAAAATCTGGAGGAGAGATACTTGTTCATTCTGCATGCTGACTAAATAGTCCAGGAAGCTGGACTGTATGAGGAAGAATGCAGTATCAGGATTGAAGGAAAGCAAATTTACAGTATGCAATATGCAGATAACATAAACTTGTGCTTGCTAAAAGGTGGACTTGCTGATGATGCGCTTGATGATGAAGATCGAGGACCATAACCTTCAGGTGTGGATTACAACTCAGTTTAAAGAAAATGAAAATCCTCACAACTGGGCCAGTAGCATCATAATAAACAGAACAGATTTAAGTAGCCACAGATTTCATCTTACTTGAGTCCACAATCAGCGCTCATGGTAGCAGCAGTCATGAAGTCAAATGATGCATCGCATAGGCAAATCTGCACAAGGCCTTTGTAAAGTGTTGAAGAGCAAGTATGTCCAGCTGAAGATTAAGGTGTGCCTGATCCAAGCCAGGGTATTTTCAATAGCCTCATAGACATGTAAAAGTTTAATAATGAATAAAGGCCAAAGAAAAATTGATACCTTTGAGGTATGGTGTTGATGAAGAATATTAAATGCACCAGGGACTGTCAGAAGAATAAACATCTGTCTTGGGAGAACTACAGCCAGAACGCTCCTTAGAAGCAAGGAGGGCAAGACTTCATCTCACATCTTTTGACAGGTTATCAGGAGAGACCAGTCCTTGGAAAAGGACATCGTGATTGGTAAAGCAGAGGGTCAGCAACCCCCTGGACAATAGAATAAAGCACTGCCCAGCCCGGCACCGTCCTCACCAGGGTTGTTATGTCCCAGTCCATTGTTGCAACCACTGTGTCGACCCATCTCCTGCAGAGTCTTCCTCTTTTGCTGACTGGATCTTAAAGCAATAATTCAACTCACATTTCAAATACATTGGGAGGTGATAAAATGTGTTGACTGCTGGAGGTGGAGTGTTGATTGAGAACCTTCTGGGTGGTGGTAACACAAGTATATAAAACTTAAGACCAGTGCCTTTGCAAACTCTATGTATAGCACGCATCCTTTAAAATGTCTGTTTTAATTAGTTATTTGGTATTCTCAAATACATCTTTCTTTTCTCTAAACTCTTTTCTTTTTGAAAAACACTGTAGCAAAATTAAACTATTTTCAGAAGCTCCCAGAGGTTGATAGAACCAACTTTCAGGCCCTGGCTGAAGAGTTTGGAGGCAAAGCATTCATTTCATCATTCCAGTCACATTCGCCGCCACCTTTTTATAAGGTAAGCCTGCAGGAAGGAATGGAATTGTTTTCCCCCTCAGGCAAGGCAGTTGACTAGGTGTCTCTGAGGTACCTTCGGTGCAGTTAGGTTTTGGTAAGCCACTGTGGGCTATCTCAGAATGCAATCTGCTCCATAGTAACAGACTTAAGTTAACCCTTGTTTTGTCTTTTCCTTTTCTGGTGTAGTTGTGACCAGTCTCACTGAAGCATGTTTCTCTTACACTGTGTTTAGGCTGGGGACCCCATTGTGACTTACTTTTCTCAGTGGTCTGTGGTCAGCCTGCTGAGACAGCCTGCAAGTGTGGGAGCTGGAGGACTCTGTGCCGACAGCAATCCTGCAGGTGAGTCCCGGACAGAAGCATCAACCTTTTGTTTATTTGAAGATAGGCTTTCTCATTTACCTTTTCCTTAATTCTCTGTATTCTAAGGTTTCCTGGAGAGTAAAAGTACAGCTTGCACTCGTTTCTTTAAGAACTTGACAAGTAGCTGTACCTTGGATCCAGCCCTGGATGCTGCCTCTTATTATAACTTCACAGTCTTAAAGGTAGGTGTTTCCTCTTCCTCTCTGCTCTGCCACCAACATGGATTTGAAATCAACAGCATGCTTCCCACTGTTGGTTGTTGATAGGTGCCATCAAGTCAGTTCCTACCCATAGTGCCCTTATGCACAATAGAGCAAACCACTGCCCAGTCCTGCGCCATCCTCACAATTATCCCTGTGCATAAGCCCATTGTTGCAGCCGTGGTGTCAGTCCATCTCATTGAGGACCTTCCTTTTTGTTTTGTCTTTTTGCTGCCCCTCTATCAAGCATGCTGTCCTTCTCCAGGGACTGGTCTCTCCTGACAACATATCCAAAGGATGTGAGATGAAGCCTTGTCTTCCTTACCTCTAAGGAACACTCTGGCTGTACTTCTTCCAAGACATATCTGTCTGTCCTTTTAGCAGTCGTGGTATTTGAATAGAATTGTCTAGCGCCACAATTCAACATCAGTTCTTCTTCGGTCTTCCTTAATCAGTGTCCAACGTTCACAGGGATCTGAGGCAGTTGAAAAAACCATGGCTTGGGTCAGGCTCACCTTAGTCCTCAAAGTAACATGCTTGGTTTTCAGTATTCTAAAGAGTTTTGTGCAGCAGATTTACCCAATCCGTGTCTTTTGATCTCTTGACCACTGCTTCCATGAACATTGATTGTGGATCCAAGCAAGACAAAATTCTTGGCAATTTTTCTCCATTTATCATGTTAGCTAATGGTCCAGATGGGAGGATTTTTGTCTGTTGGTAGCTTGTGGAAAAATGATAGGAAAACCTACATTCCACTGAAATATAAAGCCTCAAGCATATATCACCAGGGTAATGGATTAGCTTGGAAAAGTTTTAAAAAATGAAATCTCTTTTTCACCAAAACATGGTTTTTACTGTTCTGTAGTTTAGTGGGCTTCTCAAACCAACCTTCTCAAACCAACCTTCCCTCCAGCTCCAGAGCCTGAATGCTAGTATAAGGAAAAATCAGGGCTGCAAGGGAAAGAGAATCATTACTATGTGTGGCTCCTGGCAACCTAAAGACTATTGGTAGTACTGTGAAAGGGCGAGCTCTTCTGGTGACTTCCAGTGACATGCCCACTTACGTTGCTTGTTCTAGGTTCCAAGAGGTGTGGCTGATCTGCAGAATATGAAGGTATGATACTGTTTATCAAGAATATAGAAAGATTCTTTTTCCTCTTTGCATCTGAGTCAGTTTTAGCCTAAATCATGGTTCTCAACCTGTGGGCCGCAACCCCTTTGGGGGTCGAACGACCCTTTCACAGGGGTCGCCCGATTCATAACAGGAGCAAAATTACAGTTTTGAAGTAACAATGAAAATAATTTTATGGTTGGGATGGACACCACAACATGGGAACTGTACTAAAGGGTCACGGCATTAGGAAGGTTGAGAACCACTGGTCTAGATTGTAATAGTAGAAGGGAAAATGTGCGTGTGATATATCAAACAATTTTTTTTAACATTATATAGATTTATGCATAATGACAACAGTAGGTGCTCTAAAATTTGATCAGAAATCATGTGCACACCTAGAATATATGTTTGTCTTCCAAAGAACACAATTCAACCACATTGAATGATCTTAAAATTTTTCCTAAGATCATTTCAAAATTAAAGCTATTAATTACATTCTATAGTAAAATATAAATATCACTGTTATCAGTTAGAAATCATTAAAGATAAAAGAGCAAATCTATTGCTTCAGTGGATTAAAGTCTTTATATTCTGTTGCTATGCCACTTATTTTGTCAGCGCTTAGAGAAGTAGCAGCTAATATCCTCCCTGATATATCAAACAATTAAGAATGGATTTAGACCCATTTTCCCAAGTGTGTGCTTCAAAAAAGTTCATGGAAAAATTCCATTGTATTTTCATTCTATTTTCCTGTGAACTTTTTGACTCCTCTGTAAGGGAGTAAAGAATATAGTATTTCTTTTTTCTTTTTTTTTTTTTTTGAGTATAGTATTTCTAAAATGTGTTCAACCCAACCATGAAATACTTATTTTATATCTAATAGAATTAGTGCTCTAAGAAGCACTGATCCAGAATAACTTAAGTTGTAGGCTGGCTATGGAAGGCTAGAGAATGGGAAGGTTAATGAGGAAAAGTAAGCATTTTAGCATATGTTGTTAGGAGAGCCGAGAAAATGCTGCTTTCCTCAGTTGATGCTCATCCTTCCCTTCCTCTTTCCAGGTGCCTGTAACAGTTACTTCACAAGCTGATTCTCCTCTGTTGTCCGGAAACACTTGTCAAAATGTTGTTTCCCAGGTATGCATGCTCACCTTGGCATAGGACTTGATTCTGGACAGATGGATTTTGATCTTTATTACCCATGGTGCTCAGCCAACCCCCTCTACATGCATGTTCATGTGTTACCTGGAATTTCACATGTCAAGAATTGAGTCCATCCACATCCTTTCTGCCATGTTTGATTCTTTTCCTTTGTCACTGTCCTCCTGTATTCCAGGTCCGGAACATTAAAATTACCACGTAGCTTCAAAAAGTTCATGGCAAAATTCCATGATCTTTTCATTCTGATTTTGCCCCAAGCTTTTTGAAGTGCCCGTGTGTGTTTGTAACTCCTCCTCTGTTTCTCACACGAAGTCTCTGACTGGCTCTCACTGTCCACGTTTCCTTCCGTTGACACGGTATCGTTTAAGACTGTGAGAAAACTGGGCTCCTCTGTCTCTTTATTGTCTCTTCAAACCCAGTCTAGAGAGGAAGAGCGATTGAATGTCTGGTAAAGACTGAGCTGGTCCTCAGAGTGCCTTGAATTAACTAGCCCAGTGGATCTGCTCAGAAGCTCCTGTTTTGATTGAACCTTTTTTTCTTAATTCGAAGGTACTCTTAAGACTAAGACAAATGTACTATAGAGAAAGCTTGTCTGCAGCGATCCACTGATTGAAGAAATATTTAAATTTTGTTGTTGTTTGAAATAAACTTGTGCATGAATGACCTGAACAAATAAATCGTGTGCTTCGGAAGCCTAAGTGTACCTTCAATTGCTGGGATTCCTGACCCCAGATAACTGTCTATCGTTACTCATCCTCAGATAACTGTCTATCTTTACTCATCCTCAGATAACTGTCTATCTTTACTCATCCTCAGATAGCACTCTCACTGCCACACTGCCACCAAGGCAATGCCGACTCACAGTGTCCCCTGATGGGTTTCTGAGACAGTAACTGTTGTGGAGCAGATCTTACTAGAGCTCAGTAAACCAGGTTTCCATCCCTGGTCACCTCTGCCTTGGTTTCTACGCTCCCTTTTCTATCCACAGTCAGACTTACCTTTCTTCTCTTTCTTACCAGAAGTTCACCTTGTCCATGAACCCTGTCAAAAAGCTCTAGCCAGTCTTTTCTCTTATGGCTAGATGTTAGTGTGAAGTGATCTTCTCCTGGTGTTTGGGTTTGGCATTTTAAAGATTGCTCTCTTAGTTTCCCTCACTCGGTTGTAATAAAAATTTGTAAAGATTGAAAATCTTCTGTACCATACACAATCAGCCCATTAATTTTTTTTTCTTAATTGATTCTCCTTTTGTATTTTAGGTGATGTATGAGATAGAGACCAATGGGACTTCTGGAATCCAGAGAGTCTCTGTCAGTTTTGGACAAACCAGCCTGACAGTCGAGCCAGATGCTTCCTTACAACAGCACTTCATCGTTCACTTCAAGGTTGGGTGCTTTGCCTAGAGAGGACCCAGGGGAAACGCGGGGCTAGAAATAGACGTCATTCCCTTGCATTTGAAACGCGCAAAGTATTCCATTATTAAGCTATACATGATAAGGAATCAGCAGTGTTTATTTGTTAATACTTTCTCCGATTCTCCATCTGACCCCAAGCAAAGCAAGACTTTAACTCTCAAATCAAAACTTTTTTAAAAATACTAATTTTGGATGACAAAATAAGCCAACATCATACAGAAATTCTTTAACTAGCTTTTCTCATATTTCTAGATATTTAGCATTTTATTTTATTTTCCATATGATCTAAGTTTCAAATCTTTATCACCACCTTTGGCTTTTTTTGACATTTCCTCTTTTGAACCCAACAGAAGAGTTAATTTTTTTTTTCTTTTTAGCAACTCTACCTTCTGGTGACCAACCAAGTTCCTGTGTGCCTCACTTTAATTTTGAGACATCTTTATCAATATGTAGGCATGTCTCTCTGGGTAGACTTGAGAAACAAATTCATAAACACTCATGTGTACAAGAAAGAGCTTTATATAAAAGAGTAATTGTATATTAAGAAAACATCCCCGCCCAGTCCAGATCAAGTCCGTAAGTCTGATATTAGCCCATATGTCCAATGCCATTCTATAAATTCCTCTTCAGACTCCCCCAACACATGCAATGATGCTGAATACAGGAAGATTACAAGCAAGTGGGTAGAAAGTCTTGTAGATCCAGTGGTGGTGGAAGCATCTCAGCGCTGGCATGGGTCTCCACATGAGTCTCTTGTGGCTCCTCTAGCTCCAGGGCTCTGACTTCATCAGCTTATCTCCATGTGTCTTGACAGCAGGAAGATGAAGCAGAGACTGTGGGTCTGGCCTCCAGTGAGCTATTTATCTCCATAGCGCCTCCAAATGAGGTCATCAAACTGCGACCTGATTGACAGGCTAAACTCCACCCCTTCACTCTTAAGAGTCTTAAATTGACACCAGATTATATACCACAGTAGGGAACCCAGGTGGCATGCTTAGGTCAATAGTTCAAAACCACCACCCACTCAAAGGGAGAAAGAAGAGGCTTTTTACTCCAGTAAAGAGTTACAGTTGTGGTAATGCACCGGGGAAATTCACCCTGTCCTGTTTGTTCAGTATGAGTAGGAATTGACTCAATGGCAGTCAGTTTAAGAGTTTTTGAGTATTATTAATGCATGAATACATTTTAGGGCACACCTACAACTCAGTTACATTTCATTTCCTCTGCATTCAGCCAGGTTAAACACATCTCTAAATTGATAGTAATGTTTGAGGAACAGGGTTGAAGGATCCTTGGTTGTAATCTATAGAAACAGTATACAGTGAATTTGAATATGCAAAGGCTTCCAAACGTTTGTGGCAAAGTTTCATTTTCTTTTCATTCTATTTTCCCGCAAACTTTCTGAAGCCCCCTCATATGAAAATCACTCCGTTTATTTCAGTGAGTTAAAAAATAAACAAACACTGGAATGGAAACCTCTACAAAATGCTGTACCATGGAGGGAAGCCAGACCATTCGGGGTGGCTGACTTGTTGCACTGCCTGAAGCAGGGTTACCAAGCCAAGACGGTGGAGGTGGGAGAGCATGTTTTCCTCACTAACTGAATTGTATTCTTTTCTGCAGACTGTTGAACAAAGGGCAGCTGCTTCTCTTCCAAGTCCTCGGAGTGGGAATCCTGGCTATCTTGTTGGGAAGCCACTCTTGGCTTTAACTGGTGATGTAAGACACTCAGTATCCTTTTTGGTCTGTTACAGCCTAATGAGAAAAGATGCAGTGTCAGCCACTTTGAGTGTATAGTTGGTGCCCAGATAGTTTAGGTATTCTGAATTTTCATCACCAAATTATTAATACATTATGTTCTGAAAAACTAATGACATCGGTTTTAGAGCTTATGTTGGAGTGAGTGAAGGTAAGTGTGAGACCCTTTATGTGGCCTTCTTCCTCAGTTCTTTGGAAAAACAGCTTGAGAAATGCTACCCCTAAGCCCTGAGGAGTTACCTACTCCAGAAACCCTGTTCATTTTGCCAGGTTAATTGACATTTCCTTGGTGAGCAGTAAACACTTGGTTTGGTGCTTTGGGTTTGGTCCTGGACTGCATTGATATGGTCCTGCCATTGAAATGGACCTTAAAGGGATTAGCCAATACTCTAGGTAAATGAAGTGAGTTGTAACCTATTATACAAATGAAGGTCTACCAAGATGGGATTGGTCAGTTCATAGCTCTGGTAGGAGTGCCATGCCTTGAAACTGACAAGAGGTTAGTACATAAACAGCCAACCCCACAGAGGTTTTAGAGATAGAAGTAGGAGGTGAAGCTATAGGCAGACACAGGCTGAAGGAAGTAACACAGAAGAGCTGTAACATGGCCAAGGGCCAGAGCTGATGATAGCAAGAAGCCTGGAAGGGGCCAAGTGATAAAGGCAGCAGTGGCAGACAGTAGCAATAAGAGGTGCCTGACCTGCAGGGGCTAAGAGGAGCATCTCTTCAGGGAGGGAAGAGAAGCCGGTGAGGAACTGAGAGAACTATCCTTCACTGAGGGAGGGAGCCTTTGCCTGTGTGCTTCCTGTTCCTGGTCTTGTGTTCTATCCTCTAGATCACAGGTTCCCAAACTTACTTGATGTACTACCCCTTTTCAGGAAAAAAATTACTCAGCAACCCCCTGGCACTTAAAAACCTCTGTACCGTAGTCCAGGATAAAGTATAGGTATCTGCTTTTGCAAGCCCCCCTTGATTATTCCAGCACAGACACACACATACACCCCAGGGTATCACACACTTTAGGAAACACTGCTCTAGATCTTGATCTTGTTTCCTAATAAAGCACTTGTGTAAGAACAGTTTGTGAGTTCTGTGAGACGATGCAGCAAACTGCCGCGCTCAGAACGAGAAGAGTGCCTAGGGGCGGGAACACGGCAGATTCCAGAGAGAGAGAGTGGTAATCTGGTATATATTCGATTTCTGCCTTGAAATAATGGGCTTTGGGCTGATCCTGGCCATTATCCACCCTGCAGTTAGACAAGATTTACTACTCCTCTTAGTCTCATTTCATAGTAAGGATTTCGACTGATTTATTTTGTTTGTCAATGAGATAATTAAATTCTTGTGCTGGCTAATCATTTTTGGGAAAACAATGCTTTTCTCCTGGTTATTAACCTCTGGGGCCGGGGCGTATGGGGCAGCACAAATCTGTAACAAATAGGAAACTATGAAAGTTAGAAAATAGGAAGGACGTTAGGAGACTCATTAGAGCAGTGGTTCTCCACCGTCCTCACACCGGGACCCTTTCATTACAGTTCCTCATGTGGTGTTGAGCCCCCAATCATCAAAATATTTTCGTTGCTACTTAATAACTGTCATTTTGCTGCTGTTGTGAATCAGGTGACCCCTGTGAAAGGGTCGTTTGACTCCAAAGGGGTTGTGACCCACAGATTGAGCACTGCTGCATTAGAGCATAGTATGTCCAGTCCTGCCTCCTTTTTTAATTCGTAATCTCCTTGACCTTTCATCGCAGATGACCCTCCTGCAGAGTCAGGGCGACGGAGCCTGCTCTGCTCAGAGACATAAAGTACAGTTTGGAGTGAATGCAATGTCTGGGTGCAAGCTCAGGTAACCTTTTCCATTGCCCCCACCATTTTCCTCTCTCTGTAGGGTATACATTGATATATATATAGCAAGTTTTACATTTTAAATAGCAGTTTAGAGAAAGCTAGTTAGAAATAGTCATGTGATTTATGTTATTTTAATCTCGCTCATCGATTTCTGAAAATAGTCCTTTACTAGCTATGTAGGATTATCTTAAAGTTTCTAATAATAGTTGGATCAGTGGACTAATACGGTTACGTGACTGATGGTGCTAATTTTATTTTCTGAAATGTCATTTACTAGACAATGTAATAGTTGATACACACTTGGCTGGTATTGGCATTGGATTCCAGGCTCCTGGGTATTTAATTATAGGCTGAGGAAGGCAGGATGTAGCCACTGGCAGCAGGAGATGTATCAGACTCTTCACGGAAGCCCCAGACCAGAGCATGTCGCCATCTTTGGTAACGCTGACCCAGGCCAGAGAGGACAGTGGACCAGGATCCTCCATAGAAACTGCAGTAGTTTGGTAAGGAGAGACACAATGCTTTCTGACCAAGACTCATTTCTACCCCTTGTAAATGATGGATAATAACTTTAAAGCCAGCCCAATTTCTACTATTAGTGTGGTTGCTAGAGAAAGAATATTAAAAAGCATGCCTATTTGAATTCATTGTTCCAAACTAGGTTTATGAAATTTATAAAGATTGCTTTGTGGTTCAAAATCACTCCTGAATCCCAAACTTTCTCTTCTTTTTTTTTTCTTTCTCTTCTATTCTTAAATATTTGATCAGCATATAACTTTCTTCTCATGTGAAATTTAAATCATGTTCTTGCTGTTATGAAAATAACACATTTATAAGTTTAAAATATTAAATGGTAAAAGATAACATTGAATGAAAAGTAAACTCCCTCACATATCCCCAATCCCAGAAGTAACCGCATTGGACAGTTTCTATTTCTAGTGTAGTCACTGGTCCACATCAGGGGTTTCTGTGACTCCCTTCTAAGTGAAATGAGGCCATCAGCTCCCCTCTGTAGCCTACTTCCTCTCTTGCCTGTCCTACCTCCCGATGTCAGTCAGCTGTAGCATGATTTTTATTTAAAATTTTAGTTATGCTTGCTTTTCTGACTCAGTAGTACATTTCGTGGTTACCAAATCAGCCTCACTGCCATGGAGTTACTTCCACGAGATGCACTGACCTTTCTATCTCCAGATTCTTTCATCTGTAGTCCAATCATACATGCTGCGACTAAAGTCGTGTTGTTCCATGAGCATTCATCTCCCCCTGTGGCTTCTCACTCCATAACGGGGCTCCTTCTAACAGTTTCAATATCATCTAACAGGCTGACTGCATTGGTTTCAGTGCTTTTAACTGTTTGTCTCATTCAAATTAGGTGGAACTTTCTTGCTGCTTCCTTGGGTCGTGTTTCCTGAATTGAACCATTTGTTCTCTAGGATTTAGATGAGGGGGCTTCAGAAAGTTTGTAGAAAAGCTCCATTTCCCCCATTCCGGATGTATTTCAAACATATTCTTTATGCATCTGAGTTCCACATTTACTTTCAACCCCTGACTTCTCTACTGAACTTCCAGTTTCCCATGTTCACTTGCCGATTAGAATTTCCACTCTAGAATTCCATCTTCATAAAATTCTCGTGTCTAAAAGAAACCCTTTGCCTCCATATTAGTCCGTTTTCTAGATTTCCTGTAGCTGGCATGGCTAAAGGTAGCACTGTCCTTTCAATCATGTAAGCTTTGACCTTTGGCATCACTTTTGCTTCATTTTTCTTCCTTATATTCTCTATCCAAATGAAGGTGTAAAGCACAGGCTTGTTTGTATCTTCTAAGTTATGGTACCCTCCTGATTGACGGCCATACTACCACTGTCTTCCCCACTAGTCCTTTCTTCATCTTACAATTAATTGTCTTGCTGATGTGGTCCATGTTTCCAGTCTAGAAACCATCACGACTCTAGAAACCATGAATGTCTTCAGAAGAGACTATGGGTTGGAGTTCAAAAAGTATCCCTAAATTGTGTTCTTCCTAAACCTCTCACTGCTCCTGTGTCCAAATCCTTTGCTTTGGCCAAGAAGTCGGCTCAAGGTCAGTGCCTTGCACATGCCTGGCACACTGAAGGCACTCACTATTACTTCAAAGAGTCATTGAATGTCCCTTCATGGTACTATGGGCTTTTGCACACACACCCCTTTTTTTTTAATAATCATTTTATTAGGGGCTCATACAACTCATCACAATCCGTACATACATCATTTGTGTCCAGCACATTAGTACATTTGTTGACTTCATCATTCTCACTGGGGTTAAAGGGGAGAGGGAACCCCACAAAACATCACAGATTCGGTAGGCGCAATTATACAGTGATAATAAGTAGAGATTATAGTAAAGTCATAGAGAACATGAGAGTTAAAAGATGGAGTCAAGTAATGGAGTCAGACGCAATTCATGGTAGCATTGCTCACCTCAGCCCCGCTCGGTCGTCCTCATGGGGGGGACTTAGCCGCCAGAGTAGAAGCAGCTGCCTCGTCCTCCTCAACCACCCTCCCGAGAACCAGGGAGCCTCCTTACTTATTGCTAACCACACATCATATCACTTTAGGGGGATCTGATTACAGAGTCACAGAAAGGGGCAATACAATTCATTCTTGAACAAGTTTGATCACTCTGGTGTCTCATACAATAAAACAGACAATTACTATTCTGGGAGGCATGCAAGCCCCCTGATAGCAGACGATAACCTACGTAATGGGGAAGGATAGGAACATAGGCAATACAATCAATAGGAGGGGGATGACCTAGGGGTGTGCCCATAGGAATGTGAAGGTCTAGGGTTACACATGTGACAAGATGGGTGGACTCTAGATTCATAATAGCCACCTAACCTTGGTCATCCTTGGGCGGGTTTGACCTCTCTGGTATCGCCAAGTAAACAGACAACTACTATCCTTATCAGAAGGGAGTGGGCCCTACTTAGGGTGAGTCAGACTATACAGTCGGGTTGCTCTAGATGGCTGATGTTAAGGAGAATAACCTCTGACCTACTTTCGCTGACCGCCTAGTGTACAGTCATACTCAAGCAGCTAAGTCTGGTACATATTACTGGGGAGACAGCTTAAGAGAAATCCTTCTGTTCCCCACACTCACAACACATGCTTTCCACTTGAGGCCTTGGTGTCAGCTCCTCATTTTCCCCCTCCCTCCCCGGTCCCCCCTCCCCCAGAGCCCTTGATAATTTATAAATTATTATTTTATGCACCCTCTTTTATATGCCATCGCTCTACCAGAATTTCTCTGTTAGTTCCCTTCTTCTACTGTCACTCAGTTATTCTGGTTCCATGAATCATGCCCCAGGCAGCAGTTGCCATCTCTTCTGGTGTTTCGTCCACTACAGTCACTCACTGAGGGTGTCTTATAAGTCCTTTTGTATAGGTTCACGTTTATTAGTCTGTGTATTGGTGATTTCCATTTTAAATGCTAATGTTTTACAGTCAAGAACAATAATAGAATCTAAAGCTATGAGCCTTTGTGTTCTGTCTCTAAGCATGTTTGCTGTCCATTGCCTCGTGTTATCCTTAAGAAACAATGCTTATTTGATACATGCTAACTGACGAAAGTAATCATCAGGCAACTGAAGAAGATGCTTCTTGACTCTTTTACAGGCTACGAATTGTACATCCTGCTGTTTGCTACCAGTCTCCCTAGAGATCCAGGTATTGTGGGCTTACGTAGGCCTCCAGTCCAACCCACAAGCTCATGTATCAGGAACCCGATTCCTGTACCAATGCCAGTCTATAAAGGTAAGTCATGGCTCATAGCGCATCACTAAGCCTTATATTAACCAATGCTTGTTCAGAATGAAGCTGACAAAATTAACCTTTAACTCTATCTTTACTGCCTGGTTACTGAATTTGGCATGTTGCTTTGGTGAAAATAATCTACCGTCTATCCTTCCCACCCACCCCACCCCACTAGGATTATTTTGGTGGTGTTGGTAGTCATGGTAGTTTGTTGCTGTTGTTATTTTTATTGTTTTAACTCTCATAACCTCAGACTGTTCTACTCACTAACACTGTTTAAATGATACCCATAAGGTTTTCAGCGGCCTAATTCCTCAGAAGTAGATGGCCATTCCTTATTCATAGTCTCTTGTAAGTCTGGAAGCTCTGCTGAAGCCTGTTCACTGTGCGTGGTTCAGCCGGGATTTAAAATACCAGTGACATAGCTTCTGGTATCACAGCCAGCCACACAAGTCACCACAGTACAGCAAACTGACAGACATGTGACTGTGTAGTTCATAACAAACTGGATGCCCTTGAGAAGAATGGGAATTCCAGAACTCTTCATTGTGGTCATGCAGAACCTGAAGATGGATCAAGAGGCAGTTGTAAGAACAAAGGAAGGGAATACTGCATATACTGCATGGTTTTAAATCAAGAAAGGTATGCATCAGGGTTGAATCCTCTCACAATCTGTGTGCTGAGCAAATCATCAGAGAAGCTGGTTTATATGAAGAAGAGTGTGGCATCAGGATTGGAGGGAGGCTTATGAACAACTTGCAGGTGAAACGACTGTGCTTGCCAAAAGTGAGAAGGACTTGAAGCACTTGTTGATGAAAATGAAGGATTGCGGCCTTCAATATGAATTACAGATCACTGTAAAACCTTTGAACAGCTTTGTCATCAGAGATTACTGTAAACTTGGAATGGAGCCATGATATAATATAATCAGTTGACCTCCCTCTTGACCCAACCTGAATTTGCTCTAGGCGCAAGTATTTTCACTTGGTCCACAACAGAAGTTTCTTCTCTGGCTTTTTAAATATTGTTGGTACTCTTTTCTTTCTTATTCCTTTTTTGTGTTTTTGTCTTTACGTTATTATTTCCTTCTTGCCATTTTGTTTTGTTTTTTATTGTTTCTATTGGGTTTCCCAGTTTGCGAAGCACAGAAAGAGGAGCTGCATAGAGACAATAACTGATGCATGGTTTATCGGAGATGTGGAGGTGGGGTGAGAGCTGGGGAGGATGAGGAGATTTGGTGGGGGGGAGAAGAGAGAAAGAAAACCCTCACAATGGACTAGTAAATGACATCATGATAAATGGAGAGAAGATTGAAGTTGTCAAGGATTTTGTCTCGCTTGAATCTGTAGCCAATGCTCATGGAACCAGCTGTCAACAGTCAAATGATGCATTGCATTGGGTAAATCAGCAGCACAAGATCTCTGTTTAAATTGTTGCCAAGCAAGGATGCTACTTTGAGGACTAATGTGTGCCTGACTCAAAGCCATGGTATTTTTAATCAACTCGTATCAAGTGAAAGTTGTACGTTCCATAAGGAAGACTGAAGAGGAACCTATGCGTTTGAATTATGGTGTTCTGGTGAAGAATGTTCAAAGTACTATGTACTACCAAAAGAACAAATCTGTGTTGGAAGAAGAGCCAGACTTCTCCTTAGAGGCAAGGATGGTGAGACTTCCTCTCATGTACTTTGAACCTACTGTCAGGAGATATTAGTCCCTAGAAAAAGACATCATGCTTGGTAAAGTAGGCAGTGAAAAAGAGGGAGGCCCTTGGCAAGATGGAGTGAGACAGTGGCTGCATCCATGAGGGCTAACATAAGAACCTCTGTGAGGATGGCTGAGGACCAGGCGGTGTTCTGTTCTGTTGTCCACAGGATCACTATGAGTCAGAAACAACAACAGCCATCCACGCACTGCCATCAAGTGCGTTCCGACTCCCAGTGGCCCTGTACAGGTTTTCAGAGACTGTCAAGCTTGATAGAAACAGACAGCTTCATCTTTCTCCCACCACGCCTCTGGTAGGGCGTTTGAACCACAACCAGGTGGTTTAGCAGCCCGGCACCTAGCCCACAGTGCCCCCAGGTCTTAAAAGAAGTTTTCACATTTGAAAAAGAATATCGCTCCTACTTCATTTGTGCACAACCAGAGAAACAGCCCAAGTTTTGCTTTTTGGAACTTTGAGCAGTTTGTTTTCCGGATTATTTTGGACCCACGGTTGATTGAATCCATGGATGCATAACCCACGGATAGAGAGGGCTGTGTGTGGACATGTGCAAAGACCTGGAGTAGAAAGCAAGCCAGGAAGAACACACTCAGCATTTCTCCAGCTGAAAAAAAATCTCCATTGGGACATGTAGCCGGTGGCACTTTTTCCCCTTCCCCAGGTGGTGTTTTCCCTGTCTGTGGCCCTCCATTACATATGCTAAGAACCTACTCTATTCCCATCGGCGTATTTTCTCAGCTACAACAATTCTTCACCAGAGTGAAGAAAGCTATAGGGACTATTGGGCGATTGTCCCGGCTGTTGCAACCACCCCGCAGACAGCTGGGCCTCCTTAGGTCTCCTTTTACCACCTGATTCTGTTTTCTGGCCAAGTGATCTGACAGACTGGTCTGCAGGAAGAAGAGCACAGCATCAGGACTGGAGGAAGACTCCTGAACAATCCGCAGTCTGCAGGTGGCACAGCCTTCCTCGCTGAAAGCACAGAAGACTCGAATATACCCTGGCCTGCCAGCGAAACACATCTGCTTTGGACTAAATACAGCTTGATGGCGCCTTACAAACAGGGTTGCAAGACTCTGTCTCACTTACTTTGGACATTTCACCAGGAGGGATCAGCCCCGGGAGAAGAACGGTCGTGCTTGGTAAAGCAGAGGGTCAGCAAAAAAAGAGGAAAATGCTCAAGGAGACGGATTGACAGTGACTGCGACAATGGGCTTACGCCTAGCAGGGATTATTGGGAAGAAGGTGCGGTTCAGACAGTGCTTTGTTCTGTCGAACATAGGTTGCCTTGGAGTCTGAGCCAGCTTGAAGCATCTAACGCCCCTCCTGCCACCCTCGCACGTACTTTTATAAAAATCTTCCATTAAATCAATGTTCAATACAGGTCCTCTACTTACCTATGGAGTTCTGTTGCAACGATTCTGTTATGTCAGTTCTTACTGAGTTTAATATCTTGTTTTTTTAACTTTTATTTTCATTATTATACCTTTCAGTATCAGTATCTTTATCATCTGAGATCGTTGTATCTTTAGGGGTTGGAAACATCACATATAAACATACAGATATATCTGAATACATACATATATATTCTCAAAGTATTTTTCCTAGTCAAATTTGCCAGATAGTCTCAGTTCCGTTATTCTAGGTATTTTCTTCATGGAAACCTCCACACATGTAATGTAGGCCTGGTGCTGTCTAGTTTTTGTCATGGAATTTCCTGTCAGCGTTTGAGTGCCTTGTGCTTCTTTCTTGTGTTAGATTTACTGGACACCCCTATTTGATTTTAGTGTATCTCTTGTCTTATTATTATTATTATTATTAATTAATCATTTTATTGGGAGCTATTACAGATATTATAACAATCCATAATTAAGTTAGATCAAGCATAACTCTACAATTGCTGCCACCATCAGTTTCAAAACATTTTCTTTCTTCTTGAATTCTTTGATATCAGCTTTTATCGCCTTTTATCCCCTCCCTCCCCCAACCTATCCCGCAGAAACCCTTATTATTATTATTGTAATTATTATTGTTATTATTTTGGGTGATATCTTACACCATCCATTGTTTCTGTTCACCTACAATTCTGTTATTCATTCCCCTCAAGTGGAGTTACACAGTCATTGTTGCTGTCAGCTCCCCTCATCCTCCAACCCCCCTCATCCTGTGCCTCAGGGAATCATTACTCCCATTACTATTTCTGAAGGATTATCTATCTTGGCTTTCATGCATTAAGTGATCTTTATTATTCAAATGAACATACACAGGTCCAACAAGATTAATGAGGTAAAACTAAGACCATAACAGTGAGGGGAAGATATATTAAAGAACTAGAGGATAGTTATGTGCTTCATCAGTGCTATACTGCACCCTGGATAGGTCATCCCTTCCATGTGGCCCTTCTGTGAGGGACTGTCCACTTATCTTACAGGTGGGTTTGGGGTCTCCACTTTGTCCATGTCCTGCATGTCAATTTGGTTGCTTGTTTTTTGAACTTCTGATAACATATTCCTATCGACATCTCATGATTGCACAGACTGGTGTGCTTCTTCCATGTGGGCTTTGTTGCTTCCCTGCTAGATGGCTGCTTGTTTAATGCCAGGCCTTTAAGACCCCAGACACTATATCTTTTAATAGCCAGGCACCATCAGCTTTCTTATATCTTTTAATAGCCAGGCACCACATTTGCTTATGCACCTGTTTTGTCTTCAGTGATCCTGTTGGGAAGGTGAGTATCATACAGGGCCACATTATTAGAACAAGCCCTTCTAGTACTGAGGTAATATTTAAGTATTGCTATATATATATATATATATATATATATACACACACACATAGACAAATCATCCTATATTTATATATTTACATATATACATATCTATACCTATATATTTTTTTACTTTCTTTTTATTTCCTCTTTTTCTTTTTTCTTTCCTGCTGCCCCACTCTCATGTTTACCCATTGTTACCTATCAGTAATTCCTCTCCGATACCTTTCAATTCATCACACGACCAAGAACACTATCAATTTTAAAACCTCACCATCAATTTTAGACCCTTTGCTATTCTACCCTGTCCCATCATTATTGTCTCACCCTTCACTTCCCCTGCCTCCTCTCCTCCAATGGCCCCTCCCAGAACCATCGGTCCTGGGGGAAATTTTTTAAAAAGGAAAGGCCATACAAAGAGTTCTAAGTCTGTTATCCTGACCCAGAATGGATGAATATCTCTGTTAAATAGCAAGCTGGTCCTGTTAAATAGGGACCCCCTCACCTAACA